TTGATACAGCACTTGTATTGATCGCCACAGTTATGGACGTTTAGTTATAACCTGGGTGCCAGCAGGTTGGTACAAGTGCAAAGGTTGGTTAAAAACTCATTGGTGGCTAAGAATAGATTATGTACTCATGATCATATGTTAGTAAAATGTCCTCTGATTCCACGTACTAATCATGTTGTCCAAGGTGAAATGAATGTGACAGACAGACTTGAGTGTTACTCTCGGTTTGTTTGTTCCTTTGACGTGTATGCCGCAGTACTAATAGGTATGTTTCGCATCGAGTGAGAACCTATGACCATATTTCGCACAGATCATATTTTACAGAATATGTCATGCTCATGCATAAATTGAAAACAATTATGGGATTTTCACCGCTTTTGCTGTTTCAAGGGATTGTATTAACTCACAGGTGTGTTTCGACGCAATGTGCACCAGTTGGAATAGTGGATGGTAACAGCACTATTCGTGTCACACAGTATGCAATTACTTTTCGTTTCACTCAACTGATGTTGTCTGACCCTTCCTGGTACAAATCATCAAGGGATCTAAGATAACAGGGTCATAATCGTGTCCAAAGCTAGGTAATTGGTGAGCTTAACGCGAAAGCCCGTTTCGTTCTCACACGACCAGATTGTGACAAGGATCTTATTCCACAGAACAGCATATCTGATAAGGAGATAGTTAGACCACAGATTTACCCTGCACCTGGGTACACTCAGGGTAAACTCCTTATTGCGTAGCTCCGCTGTCAAACTACTTTATAGTTCTAGGGAGGACAAATAGCAGTGGACGTGTTGATGGATCCTTGCACCGAAGCAGCAGGTTATGTCTCAATGTTCGGGCTGGAATTGTTGGCAGCGCTCCCGATAGTTCTTGGTGGATGTTTTGCCTAGCAGACGTTTATAAACTTTCCAGAGTTACTCTGTCAAATTTCCTCATGGTGCCACAAATGATACTGCATTATTCAAAACTGGGGCAAGTGAGTATTTTGAACAGTTCCACTGGCTGCGGTTATGTGGCTCTTATACAGCATATTAGCCCTTGCTTTTCTGGCCTTAGCCAGCTGGTATTCCACTTGTTCGGAAAAGTTGAAGGTGTAAGAATACCTGGTTCCGAGTTCGCGGATGGACAGCTGTACACAAAGGTTTTCGTCGTTGAGTGTAATTGACCCCTCGGGTATCGAACAGCCACGATACATAATGCCAGATTTTTTCGCCGTGAACTTCGTCATCCAGGTGTCACATCGTTTCTCAAGGGGTGGAGGTCTCCCTGGACGAGCAGTAGTTTATCTTGGAGTTCATTCCGTCAGAATTTGTAAACTATCTCTATGTCAACTGCAAATAGGAAGGGCATGCCATGACTGATAACTGCACTGAAATCATTGACGTAGAGCAGGAACAGTAACGGACCAGTTACACTACCTTGAATAACACCACTAGTGATTGGACGTGGTTAAGAGTGGTGGTCAGCCATGGTAACTACCTGAGAACGACCGCTCAGGTATGATACTCGGCAGTCTAGGATTGGGCTCTGAATTCCAAAGGAAACAATCTTTTTCAGCAGCCGTTTGTGAGACACTCGCTCGAATGCCTTTTCCATGTCCAGGAACAGAAGTATGATTGAGTATCTAATGATCGGATAGTAGCTGATTAGTGGGTTGTCATTCGATACAAAAACTGACGGAATACTCATGGTGAATGTCAGATCTAATGTACTGCCTGTTCCTGAGGGTTCTTTAACAATTCGAGTCCGATCATTAATTTGAATGCTATGGATTATCTCCGCGAGGCCCCTGGGCTTTGTGGGAGTTGGTGACGGCCAGCCAGTGTGTGGCAAACTGAAACCTCCATATGTAAAATTATGTTTTCATTGATATGTTTCATTATTAGCTTCGATCAATTGTTACGTTTTCTAACTGGTTACCATAAGATATTTGCTTTTAACACGATCAAATAAAAGCTCGCTTGAAGGAGATTACCTAGCATACTGGATGTTCTAGGTTATTGAGTTTTGGCTGATCAACGGAAGTCACTGTGATATCGTTCCAAATGTAGGTGGTGCAGCGACCACGGCGTCTAATCGGGCGGTCCTTTTGAAATGTGATAACGCATAACAATAATCTGAAAGTCACTTATTTCTGAGTTGCACCATGGAAATCTTGAGGAGGAGGAAGGTCATTACCTGACGCAACTAGCGACTAGATATTTCTGAAAGAAGATTTAAGTGAAGATATCGAACTAGGTGCGCGAATGGTTAGCTCAAGCTGCTTACCAGCATGGCTGCGACTGGCGTGTCGCAATGAAGTATCAGTGTTTTGGTTAATTCTAGATTATACTTTCTCTGGCCAACTAGGTATTCTGATATATAAACCACCGGTTGATTCGTCATGGCTGCTGGTGATCATGATGTGGTTTAAGGTTTCTTAACGAGTATTCATTGCTAAAGTATAGTACAGGATGGAATAACGGTGAGGCACAGTGCAGTAGCCAAAGTAATTTTTGGGGAGCGTTACATTTTTGAGTAGGTAAGCTCCTAAATACTTCGCATTTCTATCGCTAAATGCGACGTTATTTATATCGCAGTGTTGCCATTTTTGTTCGAACGAGCTGGTATTCGAAAGAGCAGTAAGATGAGGGTGCGGTCGCTTTTTTAACACCGATGCTACAGTCGGGTTCAGTGCCACCCGCTGATTTAACGTCTCGTTCCGGCATCCTGCTGCTTACTGTCGTGGTATCGTTGAAGGTTGGACATTAGCATATCGTAGTGTAGGAGAGCAATGCCTTGTTTTATCGTTTCGAATGTGCTGAGAAAATCACGACGAGATTTGCCGTGGAATCTCTCCTTATTGTGTCCTACAGCCTCAAGTTTGAAGCTTTGCTTTGCGGTTCTGTATTGAGGGTACAGTAATACATTAATCGTACGGGACGCAAAAGAAATAGGGGCAGTCTCTATTTAGATCTCAGTATGACTTACGTTCTGAAGTTGCTTAGTGTTATATGGTGTACGTTTGACGTGTTATCTGTAGGTTTATGACTTCAATACCATGAAAACCTTCCTTGGAGACTGGTACTAATTTTCTGTCGCGGTTTATACGACTGCCAGTTCGATGGCTGAGCATTTAGGCACTTAAACGACCTGACGGTTTTTCCTTAGAAGTAGTTTTGCTCGTTACAGACCATGATGTTTTCTAATTCAATTTTTGCAATAATGAGTCGTTTAGATCGTAAGATGATTTGAGCGATTACTTCATTTCAGAACTTCAGATTACCCGGACACAACTTGCAGGACAAAAACAGCTAGATTCCTGCAGGCTATAAGGAGGATGGTTTTAATATTCTCGTTACAAAGTCTGTCGGGTAATATACATATAATCACCTTTTTCGATCTAGACGCATTCCATGGGTCTCAGATGTGATGAGGGATAACGAAATCAGCGGTACACACTCTAATTTGACGGTTTCGGAGCGTTTAATTAGCTCGCAGGAAGACGAAACTCGACTTTAAACTGCGTTAATTCCATGTTTTTTTTAGTAAAATGTCTTCTTCTTCACGCAAAACAAAGCGTTTATGCATATCAGACGAGCTACTGGAAGTGTTGCAACTGCTTTTGGTCGCAGTTGTCTTAATCAAGGTGGTCCTCATTTTTATAGAATTAGCGGCCATTTATACTGCATGTACAAAGACATGGTTAGAGTATGTGAATTCGAGATGTTATTATTAAAATATTGCAGCTTAAATACCGAAGGCGAACACGTGAAACGGGCCAAATGGTAAAGGAAACCTAATACGCCATAATGAGCTGTTGCACAGCACAATAAAAACTATTTGGTTCAGGTTCCGCAACATTGGTCGGTGCACACGGATTGATAGATCGGCTGTGTCTGTGGCGGATCCTAGACACGATCACACATTCGTATGCGGGAAAGGCTGACATTAGCCTCGGCCGGTTCCTGTTTCGACGCCTGGGTCGGTCGGGAGATTAGATCCATGCATTATGTTGTGACGCTTCAAGCTGATCGGTACACGCGTACATCAAAGTTACAGATCGGCGTTCCCAGTCAAAAAGGCACGAGCTACTGACCGCATACAGGTGGAGGTTTGGCGCAGTTGTGATGCTGGTGGAATGCTACACACATTATAGATGGTTTTCGAGCAGCAACCGTAGATTCGCTTGTACACCTGCTTTATACAGTGATCGACACGAGCAGTTATAATTGTTAGAGATCCTTTACCATGGTCTTCCAGACAAGATCACAGTTTATGGTGTGTGTGGTGCGAAGAGGTTAGAACTGTGCTCCTCAGATTCCCCAGATAGATTAATCCTAAATGCGTAGATTTGACGTAGTTAGAACTCTAGAAGGAGCGCGTCAAACCTCATCGAGTGAATGCACTCAGGTATGGAGGTGAAAGTACGATAAAATTTAGGGGCACAAAAACAGAAATTGCGCTAATGATAAAATATTGTCAATGCTAATACAACTCCTAACTGCACATTTTCGACTATATCGATAGGTAAACTCAATGGTCAATCGCATCGTATCCGGAAACTTTCCTCCAAGGGATAACTGAAGCACGTATGATACCTTGAGGGGGAAAACAGTTTAGAAATTGTAAACAATTTACCACAGTACTTATATCCATTTCTTTGACCGTAGTATTGCCGAATTTGTTTACCACTAAAACGAATTTTGATATTGTTCTGCATTTTATTTTGTCTTTTAGGTTAGCTAACTTTCGGTGTTTTTCCAAGGGTTTATAGTTTCTTTGATAGCCATCTCGCACATAATTCAGCTAGTGGACAAATCCCACGCTTTAATGGATTAACTTTTGGAAATCTATTTTTGTTAATCCAATCTAGTCACCACTGTCACTCGATTATTTCGACTTTCTAGGGTATAGTCTTTCGCTTTATTCAAAATATTATGAATTACCTAATAATTATTCTGTTCACAACAGGATTTATTGTTCTATATATTTACCAACGTGCCCATTGTGTCCAGTTGCAGTACGCTAGTACAACTGAGATAATCCGCTTGGAGATTGGCGTTTTTATCAACGCTGTACTTGAACATATTACTGCGATTACTGACGGGAGAACTGCATCTGTAATGGAAGACCATCATTTATCTGCGCAACATCTTTTGGCCTACTCTGCACACGATACGGATGTTACTTTTCTCCTAGCTGCTCTTGGTGCCTTTGACAGGCAGCTTGTAGAGTACTCAGCAACTGTCATATTGGAATTGCTTGTTCCGAAACCACCTGCCCCACGCCACAACTTTCATTTGGCATTGTTGTACAAGAGAGGCTACCAAGATAATGTTGGTGAATACCTTGCTTTAGCACCTTGCTCCGATAAACCGGCTCACGAGGGGTGTCCCTTAGATCTTGTCTTGAATTACCTGCAACCGTTTGTGCTAAAAGAGGAGGAATTTGCTGCGGCCTGCGCTGCGTTCTCTGCTAAAGATGAACAAACTTGCAATGTTCCAAGCACTTCGTGCTAAGGAGGACAGTGAGAGATTGCATCATTTGGTGCACATTGTATTCGGAAGTATCACCCTTATTTTCTTGCTCGGGACATGCTTTCTCATCCTTTACTTTCGCTTTTGGTCTCGATTCCGCCAGTCACCTTTTGAACCGTTAAAATCTTCCCTTTGATCCGCTTTCCGCTTGAATCCTGTACGACCTCCTTAACAATCAGTGATTTACCCTTTCTGCTTTTGGTATACCTGTCCTATACTCTTTTATGATTGTCCTCCTATCCTGCTCTGTTCTAAATTTCCAGATATTTGTTTTTTTCTTATTGGTGAGTTGCGGCACCTATCCATTCTGTCAGCTATGATCAGAAACCGATATTGGACCAAACAAGCGATCGAATGGAAATCCCATTTCACACATAGTCGGATTGGAAGGCCACCTTCTCCTCAACTATTAGTCTCGTTTTCTTCTTACCATCAAATTAACCGCATTTTCACATCTCAGTCCTTCCGTTGATTTTTCATTTCTATGCCATGTCTCTGAGTGCGTGTTCCGTGACTTCGTCCGACCAAGTACATTTTCCTCGAACAAGATACTGGATTACCAAGTTGTGATTGTTCACCAGAACTTATATTGACCGTTTTGATTTTTGATATAATCTATTACAACGCCACAATACTTATAGTAAAGCGTAACTTAGTAGCGCCACCAGATACGAGAAGTGTCTCAACGGCGTTGGTGCCGGTAACAGATTCCCACTTTGCATATTCAATGGAGTAGAGCGCACACCTCCAGTTCCCTTAATGTGTCACCGGCTGTGGTGCGTTTGGTCTACGCCCAAAGAATCAAGGTATCCAATGTCAGATTGGTTTTAGTGGTGCTCCCAGTAACGCCCTTAGTTGTTTGGTCCAGAAAGGTACAGGAAATAATCGACTAATCAGGTCAGTTCCACAACAATCAAGAAAACCGATCGCGGGCCTGTAATGCGCTGCATCATCAACTGTTGCTTTCAAAATACTCCGTTTTTAAGGGAAGTCTACTTCGTCAACCTATTCACTGAGAATTGTGTGGGGTTGGACGCGGTCCCATGAGAACCAGACCACTCATCCACTCATTGAAGTTGTTTCACTTTCCCCTCAGTTAGTTCATTCACCCCAGATGGATTAGTCAATAAGGCCTCATTGTCGGCTCGATGGCTCATCGACCGCATTTGGGAGGAATTTACACTGCCTACTGTTCCATTCCAGGTTTAAACTTGTTCCGCACTCAATTTCCTACTGGGGAGTCACTCATTGCGATGTTTATTAATGCGACAACTATGTTCCTACTGTGTTATTAACTGCAGACGAGGTGACCGTGTCAAAACAAATCACGCCTTCAATGTCTCTAACAAAACATTCCTCTGGTCGATTTTTCTGTCCAATGCATCTTTCGTCAATTGGAAATGGATACCATGTATTTTAGACCAGTAGTTGTTGTTTTCCAACTTTCTGAGTATCTGTCCACTAGGACTGGGACGATGTCGAGTGAGTTGCAGCCAAATGTTTCCCGAAACCTTATCTCTGGCACTACAGGTCTATAGGTAAATGCACTCATTCTGGTAAATATGCTAGAATTTGTGATCAACCATGTTACTTACGTGGCTAAGCAATACTCACCAAAGAGGTTTCCCTGAATGAAGTGATGAACAAAATTTTTGGAAACAGATATCGTATGATTTTGGAATATGTTCTCCTTAGGAATCCTCCTGTCATCGGTGATGAGTTTATGTGGGGATAGATAGCATGCGCCTGCACTCCCTAACTGAGGCTGCCTGGATGGCTGTTCGTCCTCGAGATGAGATAAGATTGGTTCTTTAGGATAGCAAAGCGGCAATTTGAACATTACCATCTGGTGGTTGAACATGGAGACCAACAATGCTAGCTTGTTGTGGACGTAAACTATGTCCCAGCCTTAGCACCCAACGCCTGTCACATCCCACGCATTAAAATCGTGGCTCTTGATGACTCATACAAATCATGCAGCCCTTAACGAACAACCTCGAACTATTGATGCGCAAGAGATTGTTAATCATTAAAATGACGTTGATGCAAATCGGCTGGGGATCGCTGTTTTGTTCCTTCGGTTCCCCAGTACAGTCCTCGTCCCAACACTAACCTCTGGATCCTACAGCAGACAAAAGTAGACTTGTATTTAACCATAGTTACTGAACCATTACAAAATCACATGCGAAATTCTCCATAGCAGTTGTATCCAGCATTTAGCTTAAATGTTGTGACTACCTCAGTTGGTCATGATGTTTGAATGCACAACTATGATTTAGTAAGCATGAAAATGGTTTACAGCACAATGGTAGAAACAGGCTCCTCTTGATCATTCGCTGGTGTTATCTTCGATAATTGTATGTTCCTACCGTGGTATTCACGGTCGTCAGACAACTTTTACAGTCAAAAGGCATCCGAAACTGGGGTGATCGATGGGAATCTAAGGGCTGTCTCTAGTCATGTCAGTATATGAATCGCTGGTGTTTTATTTCGATTGTGAAATGTTACTATGTGCAACATATTTTGTGTCGCGGATAATGAAGTGTGCATTGATGATCTATTGGCCCAGTTTAACTGCAAGTAAGGCTTTCGTTGAAGAAAGTTCAAAGGTCATCTATGCATGTCCTCACGATGACCAACCAGCCTTATCTGGAATCGATCCGTTGATTGGAGTGTGAATTGGCATCTTCGCTTATCGTTTTAGGTCCTTCACTGGTAGCAAGAGGCTAAAAAGCACACATTGTTCAAACTCTTGTGGTCTGCCTAATGCACACCCAGCAGTCCGTTACAAACTACCATTGGCTGACTAGTAGGACTGCTCCGTCACTTCGACAGCCAATGTACGAAGGTGGATGTACAAGCGTCATCAGCGCTAGTCGCTGAGAAACCATAATGGCCGGAATGTGATGAGGCATGCTTTATTGAGCGCATCGATTACAGATCTGTTTACTGGATTAAGGATGGGGCTTTTAATCAATAGACTGTACTCGTCTGGTAAGCACATCAAACGCGGCCAATGATTGACTGATAGCTGCGCAGCCACCCTCATGTAGCTACAGAAGTAACTGCGTGGATAGCGTCATAGGACATGTGTGATACGTATGAAACAAACGCATCAGTGTATTTCACAGAGCGTTTGCGAAAACGGTGTGACTAAGCGCGCACTTTCATTTGTTTCAGTTGTGGACATTTGTGGCAGCACAAAAGGCCATGAGTCTTTGGATGCCGAAGCAATAGAACAATGCGGGTAAAATGTCAGGCCCCGTGGGAAGGTTTGTGTGGATTGCATAAGTTCGTAAAATGTGACAGTTAAGTGAAACTCGCATCTGTGGACTCAGCGCAATAGCCACATGAACATAGTCCAAGAACTGAACATGGAGCCGTCATAAAGACCATGGGAATCAAAAGAGTACAATTTGACAAAAAATAGAATGAAACATTTTTACTTTGTTTTTTGTAGGCCCAGTTTTTTGTCGTTTTCGCTTTTTGAAATATTAACATGTGAATCCCTACGGTTCTGTACACAATTCTTCCATTTATTCCGATTACGGGTCATGTCTTCAAGCCTATTAATCTATTGACACTCCTCATCCTTGGGATCTCATTCTGGAAGATGTACGCGTCCAACGGCGCCTAGACCCGACATCAGTGATTTCATGTGCTGTTGCCTATTGGAAGGCTGGCCACCACACGGTCGCCTCCAGCCAGGTCCTTGACGAATGAATAGAGCGCAGCTCGGTAAACTCTCAGACGGCATGTGTGGGACGTGATCAAGCTATCATAACTGGCGCAGCAAAACCAGTTTGTTGTAGTGAATACTCCCATTCCCCAATACGCGACGTCGAACGTCTCACTGTGAACGATATTACCACCACACACGTGTGTTCCTCCGAAAACAACGTCTGTCGATGGCAGAAACACGATACAAGTCATCCACGCGAATTGACCAAGACTCGCTCCTCTACAACAATACTGAACGAACAGAGGCATTGTAAACACGGCGCTTTTTCGTGAATGAGGAGTCACGACGACACCACAAGTACCTCAGATTGACAAATGCTGATCGGGCTTTATGGATACGAAATGAAAGTTTTTGTTGAGAGTGCCGCCAGCAGAAACACAGCTCCCAAGTTAAACGCAACTAATTAACTGTTTAAGTTGTGCAACTTCAAGCGTGAGCACGTTTGCAGGTGTGGGCCAATTCTGGAGCAACACTTCACAATTCGATAGGGCGAAGCTCGTACTATACTTAGATGTTTCAACTGCCAAACGATCCAAAATGAGCTGCATACCCAGTAGGGCAATATCATCAGCATAATCTAAGTCGGTCATGAGCTCACCCGGCAGATGCTCTAGGCCACAATTTTGGAGACTTTCTAGAACTCTTGGCAGGACGTTGTCCATTGCGAAGTTGAAGGAGGAATGGGGATCTATGGCAGACCTGTCGCACACCGCTATTGATAGCGCAGGACAAAGAACGATTGCCGTAGGCCCTCACTCTGCCGGATGTATGAAAGTATAGTGCACGTAAGGTGGCACTATATTACTCTGGCACTCCGGTCTTCAGCACGAAACGCAATAAAGCAGGTCGATCAACGGAGTCAAATGCAAGCCGTATGTCTTGGAATGCGACGATAATGAGCCTGTGGTAAATGTGTCGGTGTTCGATGAGCTGAGGGGGGGAGCGTACGGATTTGCTCCATACATGCGCGACCAGGAAGGAACCATCTTGCTTTTCACGGTAATATGATTTATATATTAGGGAGAATTTTGAAATAGAATGGGTGAGAATAGCTTAGAAGCAACCGATATAAGACTAATCCTGCAATGCTTGACACATATATTTCGATCACGTTTCTTGAAATTGGGGACAATAACTGATTCACCTCAAGAGAAAGGCACATTTTCTTCATGCCAGAGTTTTGCGAACAAAGAGGTCAGCTGGTTAATGAGCGCCACGCCGCCGTAAGTGAACAGCTCCGGAGGAAGTTCGTCTGAGCCAGCAGCCCTGAATCGCTTCAAGTGTCGAATCTCGAGGCAGACTTCCACTTCGCTGGGTGGATTCAGTGGGACTAGCCGGGCTAGACAACAGGGTGTACTGCATGCACTGATGGACGGTGGAGGCCAGTTGACATGTGAGAGAAAGTACTCGGCCCTGTGGTCAAAACGCCTCTGTTGGTTGGTGATCGGAGACCAATCCATCTGACAAGCAACCCCACAGATACCAGGCTTCCTGTGACCAGTGGACCGATTGAGTTACAAAGTTTGAGAGTGTTGCCAGAGAGGGTAGCGCTCTCCATCTCTAAAGCAACTCCAGACCTCCAAGTATCGCGATCCTTGCGCAGACCTTGCTTGAGCATCCGGTTGGCAGAGCAGCGCCACTCGTTGCAATCTGATTCTCCCGGAATATCTCTGCTGCGATCAAATGGCTCCAGAGATCCAAGCCGCAGCTTGACTGTCCGGAACTGGTCCTCACCTGCATACAAGTCCAGTGTTGCTGTACGTCTTTTGGTGGATTACAGCTGAGTGCTTACGCCAGTGAAAACTGATAGCTTTCCTGGACCGTGGGACCAGTTAACTTGTGCAGCCATCTTGCGGTGCGTCGTTTTTGGGGACCCCCGTTTCATGTGCAGATTTTCGTGCAGTCCAGCACATGATCCGAGTCAATGAAAGTTGACCAAAAAACCTACAGTCCAGTACGCTGTCACACCATCCGAAGATGTTCGCAACAGGATCAATTTGAGACCACGCTTGTGTTGGCGAAAACGGACGCCGTTGCAGAATGCTTCTTCGTATGCCTGAAGTTGATGCTAGCGAGAAACAGTTAGTTATATTCGTACAATGTGTGAAGCCTTACTGCGGTATCAAAGCGGTCCTCGTCGGGCACGCGGTGATCAACAAGGTGGTGTTGGTATGGTAACAGGCGGCCAAGTCTTGCATGGAAAGCCCCAGCCATGACAAAGACATGCGATATTTTAGCATCATCCAAAAGCTAATGATGGTGGCGATAAAAATCAGCTGGAACCTACGCGGAGATTACAAACACATTGCGTCTCTCTTAGCGACGCTTGTTGATCCTACATGAATCCCGAAGCTGAACTGCACGCAGTCGTCTCTTAATGGGGAACCAGTCCAGCAGTGCCGCCTCGGCCTCACCACTTAGTGTTATACCTACACTAGCCAAACCCACTGAAGCTGCTTCTGGATCACCATAAAGACGCAGGTAATAGCTGGCTTCCTGGTTAGTGGGGATGTCAACGTAGATGACGATAATTTCTGCTGTACAATCGTACGTCTTTCAGTCGCAGTTGGTTTGGGAGGTGGAACAATCCCTTCACGTTGTTGGCTGTGCTTTTCTGTGTGGTCTTCAGTGCATCCCGATGGCGTTTTTCAGTCATGGTTGCCAGACATGAATCTCGTAGGCTACATGCGGCATTCGCTGGTAGATGGAACGGTCGAAACAACAGAAACATTCCGTAAGGAACCAGCAATCCGCTGAATATGAAACAGTGTTTGGTTCCAACTCACATCGGTATTTCGTTGCAGTTACGCAATATGAAATATAGGATATCAAGTTATTAGTACAGTGCGACCATGAAATGTCATGTCCCGTAATATTGGTTCTAGT